CATGGCATGGCATCTCTGGTAATACTACTAATAATAGAGAATAATTCTTCATACTGATGTGACATGAGTTTTTAAAGTTTTTTCATAGGATTATTGTTGTCATTTCCCTCTTCCTTTTTTCCAACTTTGAGGTAAAATTGAAGCACACTAAGCTGTGTACATTTTAAATGATGAATAAAAGTTATACAATCCTTGTAACCATAGAGGTCCCTTTGTCTCAGCCACTCCACTGACATTTATGTCAAAGCTGTCATGTTTACATCTGTATAAAGTGAGGACCCCACCAAACAATGTTACCATTTTTGCTTTCAAGTGTCCTACCTATCTTAAAGAACATTAAGAAGAAAATTGGTCACATTTTCCCAGTTCTTTGTATGTCGAGAAATTTAGGATTTTATCGTGAACCTTGTGAAAGGTATGCCCTGTAGACTCTGGAGAATACTGATCTTGATGTTTAGCAATCAGCCCAGCTGGGTTTAGACTGCACGTTCTGCCGCACCTTTGGTGAGCGGTGGTTCACCTCTCTGTTCATTTCTCTAGTGTGGGCCTGTCCCGCACATGTGTACCTGAGAATTGAGCCTGAGGAGTCTGTGGGGTCACTCACCGAGTTAGAGGCCTTTTCCAGCTGGTCCTCTCTCCTCTGGTTTTCTTCCTTGAATTCTCCTGCCCCCAAGAGGCTCCTGTTCCTGTTCCCCTGGGAGCCCATCCTTAGAGTGGGGCCGCTGGCAACCCCCACAGCTCCCTGGGTCTCACCTTCAGGACAGAGCTGCCGGGAAAACCACTGGGGGACCCACACACCCCTCTCGCCCCCCACCTCGCCATTTGGGCTCCAAGTTTTAGCTCTCCACCACTGTGGGTTTGATGTTACTTTTCGGAAGCCTCAGGTCGTTGTTTTTTTGTATTTTGACAAAGAGTTCTTCATTTTAATCATCAGAAAATATATACTACCAGGTGCGTGTGTCACCATGCTAAGACTGGAACTTGTCTTTCAGTGATTTTAAAATATGAACCCTATGACAAAATTTGGTAAAAAGCTGGACTAAAGCCAGGATCTCTTCACCAGGGTCCAAGTGAAGCAAGTAGCCTTTCTGGGAACATTTTTCAGTCATATTTTCTTTCTTTCCAAACTCTGTTGTCACTGCAGTTTGTGTCCTCTAAGATCCTTTGTTTTAAGGCAGGCCTGCAGCTCTTTGAAAGCCAAGTGTGTTTGTTCACACCCAGAAGAACATGAAATGTGTGGCAGTTTAATCATAAACACCATATGAGACCATACTTGCCAAGTCTGCATCAGAATTGGCCACTAAACTGAGTAGTAGCATAGGGTTTGGGGTGGGGTTTTTTTTTTCCCCTCCTACTGTTGCTTCTTATTGAGCCTTTCTGCAGGCCAGGACTGCACTCTCTCAGCTCATTCAATCTGCAAACTAACACTGTGAGGGAGGTGGTATTCTCCCCATTTTTCATAGAGACGGAAGCTCTAACGGGTTAAGAAACTTCCTTAAGACCCTGGCTAGAGCTGAAGTTGACGCCACCGATCTTCCGGACTCCCAAGGTGCCACATTTAACTTCAGTGTTACTGGGCCTCCTGCCTCACGGAAGGATTTTGTTCAGCAGCTATCTGGGGACAATCAGGCTGTGGTTCTGTATTAAATATACAAATGTTGTTTTCCTTCTTTTTTAGGAGCTCGGTGACGCCCTTGGCATCAGTATTGCTGGAGGAAAAGGAAGTCCCTTAGGAGATATCCCAATATTTATCGCCATGATTCAGGCCAGTGGTGTGGCTGCACGGACTCAGAAGCTCAAAGTAAACAAAGGGGACTGGTGGAGTGCTAACAGCATGTGGTAGGGTGGGAGAGGAAGTTGCGGTGGGGGCACCCTGTTTAAGGTTGGAATACCCACAGCCATCGGAGACTCACGCTGAGGGCAGAATGCACTGGAGTAAGTTTATACCTGAAATTTATTAGATCCCTGGGCAAATAAAAATGTTATTGTTTTTATCAAAGCTTCTCAAATGAAGGAAGAAATTACAGCTCATTTGCAAAGCCTCCTGTACCATTTTCAGCACCTCATTCCACCCAAAATTGATTTTCACCTGAGAGTGATTTGACCTTACAATCTTTCTTCAACCAGAAAAATCAAATTCTTACAATTTTTCTTTTTGCATTGCCCTCACTTTGGGAGAAAAAAAAGAAGAAAATATTTGACTTTCTCATTAGAGCTTTATTGAACAGTTAATTTGTACACCCTTTTACTACTGACAAATGGATGAATCAAACACCACCATTACCAAAATACAAAAGTGGCTTGCTGTGGCTTTTAATAATCAAATCTGACCCCCTTCTAGTTTTTCTGATTGGCCTGTATTTGGGAAAAGCCATAAAAATTCCTCATGCTTCTGGAAATGCATACACAGTAGAAATGCAGAATCTTCACAATAGCCACAAATGGAAAATATGACTGACAAAGAATTTTAAGCATTCTTCTCAAATTTAATTTTTCTTAATGATAGTGATTTTCTACCACTTTTGTACTTCCAGGTTGGGGATCGGATTGTCAGCATTAATGGGCAGCCTTTGGACGGGCTGTCTCACGCGGATGTGGTTAATCTGCTGAAGAACGCCTACGGGCGCATTATCCTGCAGGTATTCGATCAATGGAGCGCGCAGCTGCGCCAAGCAGATAAGTGGCGGGCAAAAAAGATTGAGCGTCACTGGCAGTAGGCATCACCACCCAGCAGGGCGCTTGCTGATGTGAATTATGAAAGTTGAAAGCGAGAAATTATTATTTTTATTCAGAAATTCTTTAATGCCACCCATACAGGCAGTGAGCATGATTATATGAAAGCATAACAAGGGGAGAAAAATTACTCTTTGCTTCACATGATAAATCAACAAGGCTTTTAGCTTCCAGCGCTCTTTTATAAATCAGTTTGCAAGGAATGGGAAATGATTTCTTTTCTTATGCCTCGAAACTGTTACTGAACTGCCCAAATGCTGTTCCTTCCAGTCCCATTAAAGGAAGGAAAAAAGTCAGTGTAAATTCTCACTGTGTAGTCGTCATCAGCTAAGGCAGACAATTATTTATCTGCTGTGGTCCCCAAAAGAATTGTACAGAGGCACAGGGAGCTGCACCAGGAAGTAAGATGAGGGTGTGCTGTTCCTTGCCGCACCTCCTGGTGCAGCCCCTCCGGTGTCTCTGAAATCGGTATGGTGCAGGGAGTGAGAGGCAGCACATTGCAGTGAATTTCGTTAGTTTCCCCCAAAATGTGTTATTCTAATCCGTACTTTTGGCAGAAGTAATATCAAATGGTTTAACAGATGAAAAGAATAAAACCCACGGTTTGGTACCTGAGAGAAAAGGCTAGCCAGCCCCTCAGATCATTCTGGCCTTAAAATAGTAGTTCGAATTGAAAACCATTATGTTTGGAAGAACCAATTTGTGGTGCTTAATTCTTACATCGGAATAGTCTAACTTCAGAGCCCCAAAGCAGACATGTAAAAATAAGTAAATGGCTTTTAGCATGTGTGAAGGAAATCAAAAATACTGTCAGAAGTTTAAGGGAGTTTATGTGATAGGCAGCCGATTGATTATTTGATGATTTACACCCTGTGGCTCTCCGGTAGCTTCCCCTCTACTCCTCGCCCTGACCTTCAGTGGGAACTTGCACGGGTAACTCACATTCCTCTCTCCGCTGCACCTCACAGCCTGCAAAAAATCCTTGCTGTTTCTTTTTGCTGTGCTTGCCCTTCCTCGAGTTATGCTGACCCCTAGAGGCCGTACCAGTGCAACTCTTCAAGCTCAGAGGTGTGGACCATTAGTTACCCAGGATTTTGAAGTTACCTCAGATGATAACTATCAAGGGAAAAAAGGTGTTCCGCTTAGCAACAGTTGCTATTATTGGTACTGATATTTTCATACACCCATTAGTTTGTTCAGCTTTACCTTTTCACAAAGAAATGGGAAGACACAGTATAAAAGGCTAACATTAAGTATGAAAAGTACCTATAATGAAAACAAAAACATTCTCTCCCATGAAGAACTGACACTCCTGTTCTGCCAAACTGCCACTATTAACATACTTTTGAAGGAGTTCCTTTTTTTACCTTTTTTCTGTATTTTAAGATGCAAATGGCATTTGGTTTCAAAATGTTCATACATTAAACACGTTAGATGGTGGTATTATCAAACATGTGCTAGTAAAAGCTTAATGGAATCCTTTGGGACTTTGACAGTTGTAATGTCAAAATTACGGGTATGGAGCATATGTGCTGCTAAAGGCTTTAGACATAAAAGCCAGGAAACTCTCATGTCCTGCATCAGATGCCCTTCAGGTGAATAGTGTATTTGCTTTACCTAAAACAATATTCATGGAATAGTAGAAGCAATGTAATTATCACAGCTGACTTGTTGCTAAGTAATTATTTTTATTATCAGGTTGAGCCAGCCCATTGGCAGAGTGGTAGGAAGATCATATAATCGTGTCTGATGATGTGGAAAAGACTTATTGTCAGTATATCATGTGAAGCAGTCAGCAACTGACAATTACACAGGGAAGATTAAGGTCTGGGTCAGCAGACTACAGTGTGGAGAAAGGAAGAGTGAAAGGAACAACCAGTGCTTCTAGAAGCTTCTCCCCAGTTTAAATTTGCTATCTTTAGGTGTTATAAGGAAGAAAGTATTTCTGCTGAAGTCTGCTGGTTTCTTATTCCCAATTCAGATGGGTCAGTGGAGATTGATTTGGCTATGATGGTTCATTTTAATTGATCCCAATTATATTTGCTTCTGTAGTCTGATAGTTTGCCAGGTTCAGCTCTTTTGTCTATGAAATTACCATAAAACCTCTTGGGGAAAAAAATTAGAGAACCCAGACTCTGCTAGAAAATAATTTTTTGTTTTTACATCTTTCTTTAAGAACATAGAAGATAAAAAGAGCCTATCAAGGATTTTTATCATTAAAGGAACTTCTATGTCCATTAAGAGATCATTTTAGTGAATAGGAGAATGGGTAGATGGAGGTAGCATTAACTAAATGAGTAAATTTAGGAGGAGTGTGTTGGGAGAGAAAGGAGCCTTGTAGTCTGAAATGCCAGGTGGGGATGTCCAGCAGGCAGAGGGAACATGCTGGGAACAGCGAGGGTAAATAAACCAGCTGAGGCTCTTCAGGACTGCAGACACCCCCACTGCCTGGAACAGCAATCATACTTCATAGATTCAGCCAAATAAATATATGAAAACAGTAGCAACAATGACATGAAAAAGGCTTGCAGTCCGTCAGCAGCAAGTATGGAGGACAGGAGACAGTCTAAAATCAGATTAATTAGGTTCTGTCTGATACATGAGGGCCCTACTGCTGGTTAGAGAGAGACATGTCATACTTGTTAAGATAATACAGAGAAAATAATGACTTCTCTTGTGAACCCCAGTGTCTTGCCAATGGGTTTCAGCCCTGGGCAAGTTTACTATGGATTCAGTATGACCACATAAATGACAGTAGAACCATCTTGGGGTGAAAGGGTTAAAACCCAACTTTATTCCACGATGGCAGGTCAGTCACTAGAATCCCGTCCACTCAGAGCGAGTCTGCATGCAGCAAGCCAGTCTCTGCCTCTGGGCCTCTCTGCCCACACAGCCATCCTCTGGGCCTCTGTCCTCAGTGCTGCCACCTCTCCAGCCTCTGCTCTGCTCTCCTGCAGCCTTGCAGCCATGTCGCCATGTCACCCAGAGCACTGGGCAGGGCTCTTTTTAGAGTCAATAGTGACTTATTGCCCACACTTGTGTAGTGAGCTGGCCACAGGAACCTTCATTTTATCCACACTCCACCCCTCCAGGATTCTCACCTCTCAATCTATGTGCCCTCAGTCCTCTGCGATGGTCCCTGTGCAGGGAAGCTGGAACATTGTAACCAAAGTCCATAATCTATGACAATATACAAATAACAAAAATTACAAGAAATTATAATAACCTTCAAGCCTAAGGAGATCCAGTGCCACCAACTGGACATCCTCCCTGTTTTCAAACCAGTTCTAACAAATTATAATAACCCTCAAGCCTGAGGAGACCCATTGCCACCAAGTGGTCATCCTGGCTGTATTCAAACCAGGTCCACTCAAAGGAGTTAACCAAAAGGACCATGGGTGGGCCTTACAATACCCACCTTCTCCAGCCTCTCCAGCAAAAAGTCTTGCAGACACACAGGCCCATCTTGTTGCTTTGTCTCTGCCTTCTGCTTTGTCCTCAGCAGCTGGAACCACTGCTGCAGTCTCTGTTGTTGCCACAGCTCCAGTCATCCAATTTCCCTCTGCCTGCTCCTGCCTTTTCAAACCAACCCGCATCTGGGTCCTCATGACCTTTAAATTCCTCCTTCGAGAAGCAGACCGTATTTCCTTTCATGCTTGAGCCTGAGGATAGAAGCAGAGACTGCAGTGCTCCATGACCCGAGGAGGGGGCTGCACCTCTCCTGAAAGGACCCGCGGTTGCCGAGTCCTTCTGGCTTTCCACCAGCTCTCAACCAGGTTGGGTCTCAACCGAGGAGGAGCCAATGCCTCAGGCACCAGGAGGGCCTCCACCCCCCACCTGTTCCTCAAACCTCCGCTCCTCCATTTCTGGGGCTGATGGCTCCACTATGTCCTTCACCTGCCGCACGGCACCCGGCAGCCTGCAACCCCATACTGCTGCTTCTCAGGCCTCCATTCCTTCTCGTGCTGCCTCCTCTCGGGCCTTTACTATTTCCACAGCACTTCGTAGTGACACCATTTCAGTCAGCAACAAATTTTCTTTCTCTTGGGGTGGACCCCAGTCCTCCACCCCCTCACAGTACCACATGTCCACAGGGGACACTCGAGTGTCTCCCCGTCCACAGGTGCAGCCTGCTGAAACACTCCTTCCACCAGGGCAGCCTGTTCTTTTTCCTTGGTCACCAATGAACCCTGCCGACTGTCAACAATTGTCTTGCTAATGGATTTCAGCCCTGGGCGAGTTCACTGTGGATTCAATATGACCAAAGAAATAACAGTAGAACGTTCTTGGGGTGAAAGGGTCATACCCAACTTTATTTCCATGGTGGCAGGTCAATCACTAACATCCCATTCACTCAGAGTGAGTCTGCATGCAGTAAGCTGGTCTCTGCCTCTGGGCCTCTCTGCCTGCACAGCCGTCCCAGTCTCTGTCCTCTGCTCTTCTATCTTATAGTCTTGCAGCCGTGCCACTGTGTCACCCAGAGCACTGGGCAGGGCTCTTTATATAGTCAATAACGATGTATTGCCCACACGTGTGCAGTGAGCTAGCCAACCAGGTGCAGGTGAGAATCCTGGCCACAGGAACCTTCATTTTATCCAGAGAGAGAGAGAAGCCAGTGGAGCCGATGCTGAGGCACACGGAAGTCCTGGGACGGCTGTGTGGCAGGTGTAGAGAACAACCTGAACAGAAGTTCCTAAGAGACATGCCATTGGAGGCACAGATAGATATCTCATATTTAACTGAATTGGAAGTTTGATATAAGTTGGAAAGTTTGGGACTCAATCAGTGATAACCATTAAAAATTAAACAAAATGAGATCACAACCTTGGGGAAAATAAACTTTTACAAAATAAAGGGAAATATAATCATAATATATTAGTTGGCTCACTATGAATAAGATTTATAT